CCCAAACTCAACACCCCCAGGCTCAGCACCCCTAGACTCAGCACCCCCAGGCTCAGCACCCCCAAACTCAGTACCCCTAGGCTCCGCACTCTCAGGCTCAGCACCCCCAGACCCGGCACCCGCAGGCTCAGCACCCCTAGCAGCACCAGAGTCAACAGCTACCTCGACAGGCTCGACTGCGTCTACCTGGGACACACCTGAGGGGGCAGGACCCTGAGGGGGGAGGGGGTCTACCGGGGGAGGACCTGGCGCGAGGAAGAGCGGTGCAAGGGGAAGAGACGGGAATAAGGAACCGACTTGTCAAACGTGACGTCCTGAGAGGACAGAACACGGCGCGAGGTGGGTTGGTAAAACTGCCAACCAGGTGCGTCAGGGGGGAAGCCAAGGAAGACGCAGGGAATAGCACGGGAGGACAGCTTGTCCGCAGACAAGTCGCGGACGAAAGCTCGAGATCCCCAGACACGGAACGCAGACGCATCGCCAACCTTCCCCGTCCACCGCAGAGTAGGTGTGGTCTCCGGCACGGAGACCCGGGGCTGGAGGTTGATCTGATGCGCCGCGTACTGAACCGCGAACGACCACAGAAAATGGGGAGCAGCCGCATGGATCATGGACGTACGAGCGACGTCCATGACCATGCCAATGCGGCGCTCAGCAATCCCATTTTGCTGTGGAGAGGCCGGAAGCGTGAAAGTCTGGCGGATGCCCTCCGCACGACAGAAGGCCTGCAGAAGGTCGGAGGAAAACTCTCCACCTCTGTCGGAGTGCAGACGCAGAACAGGAAGGTCCGAGCAGAAACTCTCGCTGAGCTGACGACGTGCAGCGCGGATCCAGTCGATCAGCACCTCAGTGACCTCAGCCTTGCGGCGCAAGGGGAAGACTGTGGTGTAACGCGAGTAGTCGTCAACGACCAGCAGAAAGTAGCGCTCGTGACCCTGTCCACGGACGCGGGCTGGGCCCCACACGTCCATGTGAAGAGTCTGCAAGGGAGCCTCCGTGGGAGGAAACTCGGAGGAGTGAGGGGCGGCGCGCTGCCGCCCCTCGACGCAAGGAACGCAGTTAGGGGCAAGCCCTGGGGGGAGGGGAGGGAGAGACCGAGGAAGACCAGTGACAAGGACACGGGAGGCCATGCCTCGGAGACCAAGGAGGGGTGACCAAGGCGGTGGTGCAAGAGGAGAGTCTGGTGAGACAGGAGGCGACACGAGCAGGGGGCAGACTTAGGACCAGACCGGGACGCTGCAGCAAACACCTGACCCGATGCAGCTACCTGACCAGACTCAGCAACTGGAGGAGACACGGTAGACAGGGTGTACAGGCTCGACCCAGGCTGACGAGTGAACGTGGCCAGGTGCCGGCCCGTCCGAGTACACGAACAGTGGGTCACCCGGTGACCTCCAGGAGTGAACTGGTCAACCCAAGCGTCCTGAAGGGCAGCTCCACTCACCAAGTTCGTGGAGAACGAGGGGAGGTGGAGGCCAGACAGAGAGCCATACGGGACCGTTGGACACGGCAGGACCGTGGAGGAGTGCGCAAGGACCGGAACCCCAGAGGGGTCAGCCAAAGAGACTGCCACCGGCTGACTGAGCGGCGAGAGTGTGGTGCAGTCGCGAAAGAAGGAGCGGGAAGCACCCGAGTCAAGGGTGAAAGTGTGTAAGGCCTGAGCCAACACAGTACCTGAGAGAGCAGACTCACCAGTACCTGGGGTAGCAGACTCACCAGCACCTGGAGCAGCAGACTTACTAGCACCTAGAGCAGCAGCCTCAATGCCCGGGTCGGGCGGAACACACAGGTAACAGTCACCCTCAGCACTAATAGACACAGCATACATAGCAGCAAGGATAGCATCATAATCAAGATCAAAGATAGCAACCCCCGACTTAAGCAGATCACCCCAGCGAGGGATCTCAGAGGAGTCGGGAAACTGCGTACGCCAAGCGTCAGTCAGGCGGCCAAAGCAGCGCAGTGTGGCGTGCGGTCCTCCACACGTCTCCCCACTGCGGTCGCCGGTGCGGAGAACGTAAGCGCAGGGACCAGCACCCCCAGACCTCCCACGCCCAGCGTACCACTCACGAAGCTGCTGGGGCGACAGGGTCTCACGAGGGCCTGCTGCTGCTGGCAGTGCCCACCGCCAAAGCCTCCCCGCTGCATAGCGCCACCTCGACCAACACCACCGCCGCCGCAACCTTCAACGCCGCCGCCGCTGCCGCCACCTCCACCCCCACTGCCGCTGCCTCCGCCGCCTCCACCTCCACTGCCGCCACCGAAGCCCCCATCCCCGCCACCACCCCCACCTCCACCCCCACCCCCTCCGCTGCCTCCACCGCCACCACCGCCGCCCTCGCCGTCTCCTCCAACACCCTTGCCCCCCTTGCTCCTGCCGCTTCGGCGCCTCCCACTAGGAGCAGACGTAGCGCCGACCGACTCGTTGCCAACGAGGTCGACAGCAGCAGCAGAGGCAACAGAAGGCAAGAGGGGAACGGGGGAGCACCCCTCAAAGAAAGGGGCATGAGGGTCACCACGAGAGGCTCCTACAGCAACTATACTCTTCTCAGCTGCTAGGAGGCGCTCCTCGAGGAGGTCAACGGTGAGTGTGGTGGGGCAAGGGGAAAGGAAGTGGTCCCTGACCGAGCGAAGGGAGTCAGGGAGCCGGGTGACGAGGTAGTAGAGAGTGATGTACATAGGGGGGGGGTTCGCGGCACAGAACTCGGCAGGAAGCGCAGCACGGTAGCGGGTGTCACTAGTGCGGAGGTGCGTAATGAGGTCAGCGACTGTGGCAAAAGCGGCTAGGTCAGGGAACAGGTACGGTAGCATGAGGTGGCTAAGGGCAGCAGTGGCAGGGGATGAGTAGCGCGCAACAACAACATCGTACAGAGTCCTAGCTGTCTTGTACTGGCTAAAGTGCGCGCGCTCAGCAGACGGCAGGTGACTACGAATAGCAAGACGGGCAGCAGCATCACGCGTGGTCCACTACGAGCGAACAGTAATGTTAGCATCAGCAGCAGGTGCAGTAGAGGTGCCAGACGTAAGAAAAAAAACCGAGACTCCGTCCTTGCTATCGCACTGCACAAACAGCTGCAGATCATCGACCCAGACCTCGAGATCAATTGCCCGAACCTCAGCATCGAAGGAAAGTACATTAGGGGTAGCAATGACAGTAGTAGCAGTAGCAGCAGTAGCAGTAGCAGTAGCTGTAGCAGCAGTAGCAGCAGCAGTAAGAGCAGCGCGACTCGGCAGGGCGGCGCTGCTCGGTAGGGCGGCGCGGCTCGGCAGGGCGGCGCGGGCGCGGCGGTGCGCTTACCAGGGCGGGATCGGGGTAGGGCCGCAACTGGAAGGGCAGGGCCGAGGCGCGCCGGTAGGTCAGGGCCGCGTCAGGCAGGGCTGCGATGAGGCAGGGCCGCAACAGCGGCTGTATGCAGGGCCGCAATAGCGGCCGTAGGAAGGGCCGTGGCGGCGGCAGGCAGGGCCACGACGGCTCCAGGTGGGGCCGCGACAGTAGGGCGGCAGGGCCGCTACGGGAGGGCGGCAGGGCCGCGATGGCAGGGCGGCGGGGCCGCGACGTCAGGGCGACGGGGCCGCGACGGCGTCAGGTGGGGCCGCGACGGCAGGCCGGCAGGGCCGCGACTGCAGGGTGGGGCCGCGACGGCGTCAGGGTGGGGCCGCGACGGCGGCAGGCAGGGCCACGTCTGCAGGGCGGCAGGGCCGCGACTGCAGGGTGGGGCCGCGATGGCAGGGCGGGGCCGCGACGGCAGGGCGGCAGGGCCGCGACTGCAGGGCGGCAGGGCCGCGACTGCAGGGCGGCAGGGCCGCGACTGCAGGGTGAGGCCGCGACGGCGTCAGGGAGGGCCGCGACGGCAGGGCGGCAGGGCCGCGACAGCAGGGCAGGGCCTCGACGGCTCCAAACAGGGCCGCGACAGCAGGGGCCGCGACAACAGGGTAGGTGCACGGGGCGCAGGCGAGACAGGCGCGAGGCGCGCGATAGGGGCAGGAGCGCGCTTCGGGCAGGGCAGGAAAAAAATTTAAGTGGTGGGCCCTAAAAAAAACGATCCCACTAGGGAACCCGCTCTATACCATGTGAAAATAGTACGAGGAATGAATGAACTAGGAAACAGGTGGGTACAAATATGCAAACCTAAAAGTGTTGTACCCCATATTGTTAACCCCACTACAGCCTACAATATGGTTCTGACATCATTGCATGTTTGCCTTGCCTATTTGTACCTTTGATTCTCCTTAGTGAAGCCCTCTTTTGGCTTGCTCTTTCCTCTCGTCACTCTTGCCTGGTTTAAATCCTAGGCTCCTAAACTACTATCTTACATTGGTATCAGAGCGAAGGTCTCAGGTTCGAATCCCAGTGTGAAACCTCAGGCATCCCAGTGCGGGGGGGTATCACGGATGCACTGGAGATCCCTGATTGATCATACGGAAGGGTTACATGCACGTTGGTCCAGGGGGTTATGGATGCACTCACCCGCTACTAAAAAAAACCCTTTTATCCCTGTGGTTAGTGGATGGAATTCGGACTTGCTATTAGAGTCGGTCCCCCCTAGGACCTAATTTTCATGGGCCCACCAAACCCGCCATCTTCCATGGCGGTCTACTGTTTTGCTGTCGCGGTTGCTACTGCTAGTAGCGTGGAATTTGCAGATGGTTCTGTGTTAGTTCATGTGTAGGCCCATATGGGGTACAACCCGAAGTTAGGGTTAGTACTGTTACGAGACGAACTTAGCTAGGAACGGGGTTTAATTAAGGGCATAGGCTTAGAAGCCTAGGCCAAGCGGGTGTCGAGGGAGTTGTGCCAAGGGAGAATCGAGAATGTGTTGAGGTTCACTATAGCACACGAGTACATATAGCAACCTAACAAAGATGAAAGAGGTGCACCACCATACAAGGGAATTACACAACAGCTACACTACAGGCAGATTATACTAAATAGATATAAATCTATTGTGACACACCCCCTATCTGCCTGAAGTGCATAACCATGTACATGTAAAACCCCATTACAGGGCGTGGGAACACCAGCAAGGGGCCCCCTCTGAAGCCGACAAGCAGCAACCACCAAGCTGCATCTGAACCACCGCAGTGGAACAGGTGCCCGGCTGCGGCTGAACGCCCCGCAGCTGGTGCACGGTGTGCGAGGAGCACGGGTACGGGTAGCGGGTTCGGGTAGCAACTAGGTGCTGTACGGGATGGGCCGCACGGGGGTGACAGGCAGCACGAGACCGGGCAGCACAGACCGGGTGGGGCACGAGCGAGAACTGACAGCACGGGTGGGGCACCAACGGGTACGGACAGCACGGGTAGGACACAAACGGGCAGAACGGGGCAGCACGGGCAGAACAGGCCAACACGGGCAGAACGGGGCAGGACACGGGCTGAACGAGGCAACACGAGCAGAACGGGGCAGGACACGGCCTGAACGGGGCAGGACACGGGCTGAACGGGGCAACACGGGCAGAACGGGGCAACACGGGGACAATGGAGCAGCACATGCAGAAAGAGGCAGCACAAGGGCTGAACGGGACAGCACGCGGGCAGCATGGGAACACGGGGGCAGCACGGGAACACGGGGGCAGAACAGAAGCACGAGGTAGCACGAGCAGAACGGGGCAGCACGGGCACTGACAGCACGGGTGGTACAGGTGGGGCACGCACGGGAACAAACAGCACGGGTAGAGCACGAGCAGAAGCACAGGGAACACGGGCAGACAGCACGGGCACGGGCACGGGGCAAGCACGGGGAAGGACGGGCAATACGGGACAGCACAGGACCATGGGGCAGCACGAGAAGCACAAGGAGCATGAGTAGCACAGGATCACGGGAGCACAGGAGGTGCACGGTCAGTATGGCACGGGAACGGGCAGCAACACGAGCAGGATCACAGGCAGAATCACGGGCAGAATCACGGTCAGGATCACGGGCAGAACACGGGCAAAATACGGGCAACACACGGGTATAATCACGGGCACAATCACGGGCAGCAGTACGGGCAGAATCACGGGCAGAACACGGGCAGGACACGGGCAGAACGGGTGGAACGGGTGGAACGGGTGGGGCACGACTGGGTACGGACAGCACGGGTGGGGCACAGGAACGACGGGGTAGCAGCACGGGAGACACGGGGCGGGGGGATGACAGGAGGAGGTGTGGTGGCAGTTGCTGCAGCTGGAACATCCACCCACACCCCCTGAACCTCCCCCCCACAGCAGCAACAGCGGCAGAGAGAGATAGGAGGAGGCGTGGCGACAATTGGTGCAGTTTGATCACCCCCTCCATGTCACTCCCCCCCCAACAGCTGCAGTCGCGGTAGTGAAGGCGACGGGGAGGGGGGGAAGGGAAGACGGACGGGCGGTAGGCGTTGGCGGCAGTTCTGGCGCTTGCGCTGGCGTTCACTGCTGACAGCCGCCCACCACCCCTTTCCCCCACGCCTCCCCCACCCCCCCACATGAGCCGCCAACCCCGCCACTCCCGCAACTCCTGCCATTCCCGCCGCCGCCGCCCCCACTGTCCTCCACACCCACCACCGCCCAACACGGCATAGGCAGGCGCGGTAGAGGGGGAAGGCGCGACGAGGGAGGGACAGGGAGGGGCAGGGACAGTGCGGGTACGGGACGAAACGGCAGTTGCTGACGCGGTAGATGCAGGCGGGGCAGGGACGGGTCGTGCAGATGCGGGTGGCGTACGGGAGATGGGCGGGGTGCGTGGTGCGAGTGGCGCACGGGCGGCGGGCAGGGTGCGGGGTGCGGGTGGAGGACGATCTGGCGCGTGCAAGGGCGTAGCAGCAGCTTCTCCCGCCACTCCCACCACTCTCGCGACTCCCGCCACTCCCTTCACAGCAGTTGCGAAGTCGACGGGAGGGCGGGCGGGGACCGGGCGACGAGCAGCGGAGAGCGTACGGGTGGCGGGGATCTGGCGACGGGCGGCAGTGTGACGGGATGGGCGACGGGCTGCAGCAGCGGATATCGCTCGGGCGGCGGGATGCAGTTGCGGGTAGCGCGTCGGCGACGGGCAGAAGCAGCGGGTAGCGCGTGGGCGACGGGCTGCGGCAAGGAAGCGCTCACGAGGCGCGCTACGGGCCGCGCAATGGGGTACGCCATAGCGAGAGGCTAGCGGTGGGCCCATAAAAATTCGGTCCTTAGGAAAGGAACCGCTCGATACCATGTTACGAGACGAACTTAGCTAGGAACGGGGTTTAATTAAGGGCCTAGGCTTAGAAGCCTAGGCCAAGCGGGTGTCGAGGGAGTTGTGCCAAGGGAGAATCGAGAATGTGTTGAGGTTCACTATAGCACACGAGTACATATAGCAACCTAACAAAGATGAAAGAGGTGCACCACCATACAAGGGAATTACACAACAGCTACACTACAGGCAGATTATACTAAATAGGTTATTATCTATTGTGACAAGTACTTGTACCTACATTTCATTCAATGCAATCATTCCTGCTTGCCATCTTGACATGGTTTCAGAGCAGTAGGTCCGTAGGACCGGTTTTTTTTTTTTTCGGGCCCACCATACTTAGCTTCCGACCGCGGTTACCGCATTACCCCACTACCCTGCGTCGCGTTGCCCTACGCACGCCCTGCCGTGCCCTGCGTCGCGCTGCCTCGCGCACGCCCTGCCCTACCTGGCGTCACCCTGCGCCAGCACCCTACCCTGCGCCGGCGCCCTGCCCTGCACCAGTGCCCTACCCTGCGCCAGCGCCCTGCCCTGCGCCGGCGCCCTGCCCTGCGCCGGCGCCCTGCCCTGCGCCGGCGCCCTGCCTTGCGCCGGCGCCCTGCCCTGCGCCGGCGCCCTGCCCTGCGCCGGCGCCCTGCCCTGCGCCGGCGCCCTGCCCTGCGCCTGCGCCCTGCCCTACGCCCGCCCTGCGGCCCGGCGCGTCGCGCCCTACGGCAGCCCGCGCGTCGCGCGCTGCTGCCCCGCGCGTCGCGCTCTGCTGCAGCCCGCGCGTCGCGCCCTAAGGCAGCCCACGAGTCGCGCGCTGCTGCCTCGCGCGTCGCACTCTGCTGCAGCCCGCGCGTCGCGCCCTAAGGCAGCCCGTCGCATCGCGCTCTGCTGCCCCTCGCGTCACGCACTGCTGCAGCCTACGCCAGCGCCCTGCCCTTTGCCAGCGCCCTGCCCTGCGCGCGCTGGCACCCTGCCCTGCACCAGCGCCCTGCCCTGCGCCCGCGCCCTGCCCTGCGCCAGCGCCCTGCCCTGCGCCAGCGCCGTGCCCTGCGCCAGCGCCCTGCCCTGCGCCGGCGCCCTGCCCTGCGCCGGCGCCCTGCCCTGCGCCAGCGCCCTGCCCTGCGCCAGCGCCCTGCCCTGCGCCAGAGCCCTGCCCTGCACCCGCGCCCTGCCCTACGCCCGCGCTGCGGCCCTGCGCGTCGTGCCCTACGGCAGCCCGCGCGTCGCGCAATGCTGCCCCGCGCGTCGCGCTCTGCTGCAGCTTGCGCGTCGCGCCCTAAGGCAGCCCACGAGTCGCGCGCTGCTGCCTCGCGCGTCGCGCTCTGCTGCAGCCTGCACGTCGCGCCCTAAGGCAGCCCGTCGCGTCGCGCTCTGCTGCCCCTCGCGTCACGCACTGCTGTAGCCTGCACCAGCGCCCTGCCCTGCGCCAGCGCCCTACCCTGCACCAGCGCCCTGCCCTGCGCCAGCGCCGTGCTAAACCCTAAATAAAATTAGAATAATAATTAAAACAAAGGCCCTATGTGCTTTTACCGTAGGAGCTACTACCTCCTGCTGCCTGCTACTGCCCTGCTGTGGCCGCACGCCGCCCTGCTCTGGCTGCACGCCGCCCTGCTCTGGCCACGCGCCGCCCTGCTCCTCTTACTACTGCTGCTGCTCCTCTTACTACTGCTGCTGCTACTTGTGCTACTGCCTTCACTCCGTACTGCCCTAGAGGTCGCGCTCCTCCTAGCTTGCCCGCCATGACTTCCCTTTGTCGTACCGGTGGGAGTGGTGACGGCGGTGGTGGCAGTAGTGGGAGTGGTGGCGGCCGTAGTAGCAGTCACTGTGGCGCTGTTTGGTGCGGAGTGTCTGGCGGTGGCCAGATGCAGCTACGGCGGCGTCCGACCCTTACGCCCCGGCAGCTTCGTGATGGCTTTACCAGCGTGGGCCGTCTCCGAGTCCGGGTCGCTGCCCGTACGTCATTCGCACAGCTCGTCGAGCTGGTGAGACCTGTGGGACACCTGGTCATGCACAGTCCCGCTGCTTCGCCTATTTGACTGACGACTGGCGCACAGAGTTCGGCGACGAGGCTGAGATCCCCCCCTGGCTTGAGCTGCTTAGGTCGGGCGTTGCTGTCTTTGCTTTTAGACTATGACGCCATTCTTACTGCCATGTCTGCTTTGCCTGGTGGTGCTGAGAGTGACTGTCACCTGTGTGTAGAGTACGACCCCGGTATAGAGGTTGCTGCTCTAGGTGCTAGTGAGGCTGCTGCCTTAGGTGCTAGCGAGTCTGCTTCCTCAGCTACTGCGCCTGCTGAGGCCTTGCACACCTTCACGCTTGACTCAGGTGCTTCCCGCTGCTTCTTCTGTGACAGTACTGCACTCACACCACTCCCTGCACCTGTTGCAGTCTCTCTGGCTGACCCCTCAGGGGGCCCAGTTCTTGCACGGTCCACCACTGTGCTTCCGTGCCCGGCGGTTCCGTCTGGCTCACTGACCGGCTTCCACCTCCCCTCGTTCTCCACGAACTTGGTGAGCAACGCAGTTCTCTAGGACCAGTGGGTTGACACATTTACCCCTGGAGGACAGCGTGTGGCGATGTACGTGCTCCCGGACCGGCAGCCATCTGGCCACGTTTACCCGTCGGCCAGGGTCGAGTCTTTACACACCGACGACTGCGCCTCCTCAGGTAGCTGCTACTGGTCAGGTTTCTACGTCAGGTCAGGTAGCCTCCCCTTGTTCGTGTCGCTCCTTGTCGCACCAAACTCTTCTCTGGCACCACCGCCTGGGCCACCCCTCTCTGCCACGTCTATGTGGCATGCACCGTCGCCTCCTTGTGTCTGGTCTTCCCAGGTCTCTCCCTCCCCTCCCTACCTCGCCTGCGCCGCCCTGCCTTCCTTGCATCAAGGGGCGGCAGCGCGCCGCTCCTCACTCCTCCTTGTTTCCCCCGACAGAGGCTCCTCTGCAGACCCTCCACCTGGACGTGTGGGGCCCAGCCCGCGTTCGTGGACAGAGCGGTGAGCGGTACTTTCTGCTGGTTGTCGACGACTACTCGCGGTACACCACGGTCTTCCCCTTGCGCACCAAGGGTGAGGTCCCTGCTGTTCTGATCCCTTGGATCCGAGCAGTTCGTCTCCGGCTCCGCCGCAGGTTCTGCCAGAACCTTGCTGTCCTGCGTTTGCACTCTGACAGAGGTGGTGAGTTCACCTCCGACCTCTTGCGGGCCTTCTGTCAGGGGGAGGGCACCGAGCAGCCGTTCACGCTTCCGGGCCCACCACAGCAAAATGGGTTTGGAGAGCGCCGCATTGGCTTAGTCATGGAGGTCGCTCGTAACTCCTTGATTCATGCGGCGGCTCCCCATTTTCTGTGGCCGTTTGCGGTCCGGTACGCCGCGGAGCAGCTCAACCTCTGGCCCCGTGTCTCCTTGCCGGAGACCTTGCCCACACTGCGTTGGACGGGAGAGGTTGGCGATGCGTCGCGTTTCCGGGTCTGGGGTGCTCGTGCCCTTGTCCACGATACGTCCGCGGACAAGCTCTCCTCCCGCACCATTCCCTGTATCTTCCTTGGCTTTGTCCCTAACGCGCCTGGCTGGCAGTTTTACCACCCCACCTCGCGCCGTGTCTTCCCCT